GTCTCGGTCCCGCCCCGGAGAGAGGGAGGTAGGGGGCGAGAGGTAGGGGGGGGGGGGGGGGGGGGGGGGGGTAAAGTAAGGGTGGAGGGGGTCCGGTGGGAGAGAGGAAAAAAAAAAGAAAAAAGGAGGTCCGGGGGTCCTAGGGGGAGGAGGAATCCTCCTGGTCCCCCTAGGGCAGGGGTGGGGGGGGTGACAGGGGGGGGTAGGGGATGGAATCCCCTACCCCCCCCTACAGGGCTGGCCTGCGTAAGGTTTCCTCCTTTGTGCTCCGGCCCTCTGGAGAGGGCCGCCTCTGCCCGTCGAGCCCCCAAAAAAAGGGTTCCTCATACTTTTTTTTTTGTTTTTTTTTGAAAAGTAGGGGGGTCAAAACTTGTAGGGTAGAAAAGTTTAGGTAAACAGACGAGAAAGACGATTTTAGGGGTAAAAAAAAGCGACCGCAAAGGGAGTACCCTTTGCGTTTGGGTCGCTTTTTTGCAATATTTAGGTTACGAATATTAGGTATGTTTTTAGAGGGGTAAATTATGGAAGGGAAGAAGGGGGGGGTGTGGTATTTTGGGGGGTTTAAATGGGTAGGGTCTTTTGGAGGGTAGGTTGGTAAGGGGGGAAAGGAGGTTAGAGGGTACGACCATGTAAAAAATGGTGGGGGGGTAGTAAGTTAAGTTAAGGGGGGCAGGGGCTGAGGGTGTATTGAATTTTTTTACGAGTGGGGTAATTTTACTATTCTACAAAAGATACAGGGTAGGGGTTCTTAGAGGCCTAGTGAGTGGAAGAGTTGGATTTATGTGTAAGGAGATTGGAGATTACTGATTAGGTAAGGTGGTAGAAGGTTAGAGGAGTATGAAGTTTAGGAGGCGGGGTGGGACCTTGATGGCAAGTAGGTTTCGGCCCTTCTTGTGGGAGGAGTCAGACCTCCCCCTACCCTAGGTGTCGTATGTGGGTTTAAGAAGGTATTTTGGCCAATTTGATTGGAGGATAAGTTTAAGAAGATTTATTTCTTTTTTACTTCCTTTTGCAGTGTTGTTTATGATGAGTAGGCCTTTTTATATAAGTCCGGGGGGATTAGAAGTACTTATGATCTGGCTTGTTTTAAGAATTTCTAAGTTCTTTTGTATTCATGAGTGGGGTCAGAAGTGTGGAAGGGCTCATATTTTAACGTTTGTTTTTGTAGTAATTTTAAGAGTTAATCTTCTAGGGATGATTCCTTTTGTAAAGAGGGTTAGGTGTCTTCCGGTGTTTGTGATAAGGTACGGGTTACTGTTTTGGAGGGTAGGGAGGCTGTGGAGGGTTTGGGGTTTGAAGAAGTTTTCCCGGAGGGTTTGGGTAATGGGGGCTCCTCTCGGTTTAAACTTGTTTGTAGTGTTTGTAGAGTTGTTGAGCTGGGTTGTTCGTCCGGTTGTGTTAGGTGTTCGGTTAATAATTAATGTGTCTTGTGGGCATATTATTATGTCTTTAATAGGGGAGGTGTTGATGTTTTTTGTTTGGAATAACAGGCTTTTGGGGATTGTTTTTGTTGGGGCAGCTGGGTTTTGGGTTGGTGTATTAGAGTGGATTATTATGCTGGTGCAGACTTTAGTCTTTGTGGGTATTATTGCTTGGTCTTGGGGTGATTCTTATAAGGTTGCTTGTTCCCTATATATGCGGCGGTGGTGGTTACCTCGAGTTGGGGGACTTACTAAGAAAGGGTAGGGTAGTCAGAGTAGCATAAAGAGTGCGGCTGCTCTATGGGTAGCTGGTGGCTAAATTAGCCCTTTGGCTTAGGTGCCTCAGTTTGAACCGAGTAATTGGCTTTTGTGGTTTGCTTTAATTTTTATTGTTGGCTTTAGATATTTTCGGTTGTTATGGTGGGTTAATGTGCCTAGTACAGTTGTGGGTAAGGTAAGAAAGTTGAAGAGGTCTTCTTTTTTTAAATGGTAGGGTTATAGGGGTGTAGGGTGGTGTATTCGCGCATTTGGAGTTTTGGTCTCCGAGGAGGAAGTTTAGCTGCTTTTCCCTGCAGTATAATACGGTTAAAATGAGGGGTGCTGAGCCGGGCGTTAGCGGGCTACTTTGATGTGGTAGGTTTCAAGGGTTATAATCCCTTTAGCACTTTGTACAAAATAGAGGATGAAAATGGGCGGGTTGGCAGATCATGTGTCCGATTTAGGATCGGGAGAGGGGGCCCTGCTGAGGTCTCACCCGTTTTAAATTGGTAGGGTATTATAACGAGTATGCTGGGTTCATGCCCCCGCGGCGGAGGGTAGATAGATCCCCCCCCCCTACTTTGGGTCGGGGTAGTATAAGTAGTGCGGCCGTTTTTCGAGCGGTTAGTGGTTTTAACTGACCCCCCGATTATCAAGTTGGCGGTCTTGTGGGGTCGTTGAAGGAGCTCGTGGTGAGGAAGGTTAGTGTGTTTAAGTTGGAAGAGGGTTGAGGTTGGAGGAAGAGAGGTCTAGTTAGATTTGCTATGGTTTTTTGTTGTGGGTGTGAGGGATGGGGGGGGGTAGGAGCTGAGTTGGTGCTAGGGTTTGGATGTGAGGGTAAATTAGCCCTGTAGTTGAAATACAATAATGAGCTGCAGTCTCACAGGAAGGGGGAAACTCCTCAGGGCTTGGGTGGGTGGGTGCAGCCTATCGGGCTAGAAGGTTTGAACCTTTCTTTGTGGGGGGGTGGAGTCCTCCATGCACTTGGGTTTAGAGCAGGGTGGCCGAGTTTAGGTGGTGGGCTGTAAACCTATTTACGGGAATATAATTCTCTCCTGCTACGTAGTAGGTCCGCTTTTAGTTTATGTAGAACGTCGGTCTTGTAAGTCGAAGGGGTTGGTTTATTCCTGCAAGGCGGTGGTTAGGGTTTTTGGAGGGGGAGTCGTCTCTAGTGTAAAAAGCACGCGCTCCTTCCAAGTGTGAAGTCTTCTTAATTGGAGGAGGCGATTTGGGCGAAGGAGGGATTGGTAGTTTGGTTCTGGTTACCCTTGCTTAGCTATTAATTTGGTCAATTAACACATGGTAGTTTATGCAGTGAATGCGTATACCGGTCCTTCTTCGTTAATTAGTGTTTTTTGCTTTTTTCTGGAGGAGTTTACGTTTGAACAATCAGAGGAATTCGAGGACTGTTAATAATTTATTTCATACCTCCAGTGGATAGATTTTAACCATGAGCGCCAGCTTGATTAAGCTATTGTTGATTAGAGGAGTCCAACCAGGTGCCAGCAGTCGCGGTTAGACCTGAGTAACTCAAGTTAAGCGGTAAAGTGCAAAAGGTGGTTAGACGGCCTGCTCCATTGTGGAGAGTTATTATTAAAAATTAGGGAGCCTACCCCGAGGGGAAGGGGTGTAATCCAGGTCTCCCTCGGAGGAAGGGGGGAATGTTTCCTTTGGGCTGAGGCCACGGAACCGGGAAGCCGAAGACATGGATTTGAGACCCATTTATTACCGACGCAAACTTTGCTTTTCAGGCAGCTGCTTGGGGACTACGAGCGTGTGCTTAAAACTCAAAGAACTTGGCGGCTTGTTAACTACCTAGGGGAATATGTGCCTTAATCCGATGATCCCCGTCGCATCTTACTAGGCCTTGAAAAAGTGCAGCTGGTGTATTGCCGTTGTCAGCTTGTTGTTCGAGCAAGGAGTAACAGGCTCAATGGAGCCGTAGCGATTATATCGTTGGTGTCCGTGAATTCAGGTCGTAATACCGCCCACGGCCTAAGGGAGTAGGTGTTACAATTTAGATTTAAAATACGGATCTTTATTTTGAAACATTAGGGTGAAGGTGAACTTAGGAGTAAGGGGGAATTAATATGTTTCCCTGAACGTGAATCTGGCTTGTGTACAAACTGCCCGTCGCTCTCGCCGAGAGGTGAGATAAGTCGTAACAAGGTAGGGGTACTGGAAGGTGCGCCCTGATTAAGAATTAAAAGTGCTGATTTATGGGAAAATGTTTGGGTTGGGATAGCTTTTGCTGAATAGTTGATAGGCTAGTTGTAGGTTTGAGTGAATCATCTTTAATTGTCTTAGTAGGGGTGACTGAAATAGATGAGGTTTAAGCGATAGAATAGGTGTAACGTGAGTGAATGAACAGGTTAACAGGCAGGTACCAGTGATGGGATCATGTACCTTTTGCATCATGGCCTTATTACTTTTTATTCTTAGGGAATAGCCCGAAAATTCTGCGATCTACTTTCTCGCTAGGGGTTGGTGTAAGATAGCTATCCGGAGACGGGAAGATAGTGGCGAAATACTTTTCGCGCGGGTTGATAGCTGGTTGCTCTAGAAATACATATAAGTGTAGCTCTATGGAGGACGTACTTTAAGGACAAGGGTTTTCTAGGAAGCTAAATGGGAAATATCAGTTTGGTGGAGTTGAAGTGAAGCGTTTTTAAAAGAAGTGAGGTTTTTCAGGATAAGCTGAGAGACCTAGTGTAAAAGGAAGTTATTGAAGAGTGGGGGTTTAAGTGGGCTTGAAGAAGCTATCTTTTTGGAGTGGGTTAAGCCTCAGAGTTTCCCTAGATTAAAATAGAAATTTTAATTTCCTTTTTTGTTTATGGGGTCTTTTTACTGGACAGGTGTAGTAAAAGTGATAATGTAGGGATGAGTAGTCGGAGTGATGTAGTTGTTTTTAATTCAGGAAGTAAAGTAGTGTGTAATAGCAACTATATTGGCAAACAAAGCTAAAGGAACTCGGCAAAAAAAGGGACCGCCTGTTTAACAAAAACATGGCTTTCTGATTAACATGGGGGGTCGTGCCTTCCCGGTGAGCTTTCGGGCTTAAACGGACGCGGTAAATCGTGCTAAGGTAGCTAAATTATGGCCTATTAATTGTAGGTCCTGTGAATGGTTTGACGAGTCTTTAACTGTCTCTAGTTTGTTTTGGTGAAATTGAATTGGATGTGCAAATGCTTCCATAGGTGAGAAAGACGAGAAGACCCCGTGAAGTTAGAAATTTAAGTTGTAAGCGTTATTCCCCTTAGTTTTTACTGTTTTTTAGAATAACAGGTTAATTTAAGTTTTAATGTTAATTCAAGTAGAGGGATGCAGCGGCAGTTTTGGCTGGGGCAGCAAAGGAGCAAGACTAGACTCCTATTATTTAAAGTGCGGGTGCGCTACGACCCACAGAGGTATGTATTTGTGATTAGCAGAAGAAGTTACTCCGGGGATAACAGCGTTATCCGTCCTGATAGTTCTTATAGATGGGCGGGTTTGCGACCTCGATGTTGGCTCTGGGTATCCTAAGGCTTGCAGGTGGTCTTAAGGGTTGGTTCGTTCGCCCATGAAAACCCGACGTGAGCTGAGTTCAGATCGGCGAAAGTTAGGTCGGTTTCTATCTTCTTTCTATTGAGTTTAGGCTTTAGGGTACGAAAGGACATTTAGCTTTAGGTTCAGTCTACTTAGGTTGAAGTTAAAATAAGAGGGATTTAAAAAGAAGGTTGGTAAAGTGGGGCGTTGGGGGGGATTAGTTTTTAGGGATTTGATAGTGGAGGTGTGCGGGGTTTAGTTTATTTGTATGGGGGTTTTTAAGGTTGAGGGTAAATTAATTCTAAAATTAGTATTGAATGGAGGGGTTGGAGTTATGTGTTAGTAGAGGGTTTGTTAAGGATAGTGGGGGAGTTTAGGAAATGGTTGCTAAGTTTGCTGGGTTGGTAGCTTAAGTTAGGGCGCTGGACTTTTAATCTAGAGGTGAGGTATAAAACAGCCCTCTCAACCCTAATTTTAGGTACTTTAAATGTGGTAGGTTTGGGTAGCGATCTTGTGGGGTTTGGAATACACATGAGTTAAAGGAGAAAAGGGAGGGATATTAGTCTAAGAAGGGCGCCCCGCTGTTAACGGGGAAGTGGTTAAAGTTGAACTATGTCTCTGAGGGTGAAGGTTCCTTGGGTAGTTTAAAGAAAACGAAGTTTTGAAGCGGCTAAGTTGGCTTGAGGGGCCCCCGAGGGGTTGTTAGGTTAGGCCAGGCTAGTATAGTTAGTGCGAGCGGCTTACATCCGCTAGGAGGTCTAAGATTGGCCGCTTGGTTGAGTGGTAGTAGTTTTTTGGTCAGTTAGTTTTTATGCTTTGGTGTTATTGAGAGTAGCTTACCTGACTTTGTTTGAGCGTAAGATTTTAGCTGCTTCTCAAGGGCGTAAGGGCCCCGAGATGGTTGGGTGGTTTGGAATTCTTCAGCCTTTTGCTGATGGAATTAAGCTCTTTAGCAAAGAGTACTTTACACCGCGTGTTTCCAATCCAATTTTGTTTTTTCTAGGTCCGTGTTTTATGTTGTTTCATTCTTTTGTTTTATGGAGGTGTAGTTCTGGGATTTGGGGGTGTGGAATTTATTTTTTTTGGGGGGGGTTGTATGTTTTAAGTGTATTGAGAGTGGGGGTATACGGGGTGGTTTTGTGTGGTTGGTCGTCTAACTCAAAATATGCTATGTTTGGTGCTGTGCGGGCTTTAGCTCAAGTGATTTCTTATGAAGTGATGTTAGTTTTTTTGTATTTAGGCCCCTTTTTTATGTGCGGGAGACTTGATTTTGTGGATGTTGATAGGTTTCAGGCTCGGGGCTCTAATGGGGGAATTTTGTTTTTGGCTTTTCCTTGGTGGGTTTTTTGTGTTTTAGCAGAGAGTAATCGGGCTCCTTTTGATTTCGTAGAGGGAGAGTCGGAGCTGGTTTCGGGGTTTAACGTGGAGTACGGAAGGGGGGGTTTTGCGATAATTTTCATTGCTGAGTATGCAAGTGTTATTTTTCTAAGTAGCCTGACAGGGGTTCTATTTTTAGGGGGAGGTAATATTTTAGGGGGAATAGGTGGGTTAGGATTCTTGGGGGGGGGTTTGATGAGGTCTCTTATGAGATTTTTGGTAGTTTTATTGATTGTTTTGTGTCGGAGTAGATTTCCCCGGTACCGATATGATTTATTAATGGGGTTTGTGTGGCGGCGGGTTTTGCCTGTTTTAATAGGTGCTTTTGCTTTATTTATTATTTTGGTTTAGAAGGGATATATTGGGTTGGGATAACTTTTGCTGAATAGTTGATAGGTTAGTTGTAGGGTTGAGTGAATCATCTTTAATTGTCTTAGTAGGGGTGACTGAAACAGACAGGGTTTGAGCGATAGAATAAGTGTAACGTGAGTGAATGAACAGATTAACAGGTAGGTACCAGTGATGGGATCATGTACCTTTTGCATCATGGCCTTATTACTTTTTATTCTTAGGGAATAGCCCGAAAATTCTGCGATCTACTTTCTCGCTAGGGGTTGGCGTAAGATAGCTATCCGGAGACGGGAAGATAGTGGCGAAATACTTTTCGCGCGGGTTGATAGCTGGTTGCCCTAGAAATACATATAAGTGTAGCTCTATGGAGAACGTACTTTAAGGATAAGGGTTTTCTAGGAAGCTAAATAAGAGATATCAGTTTAGTGGAGTTGAAGTGAAGCGTTTTTAAAAGAAGTGAGGTTTTTCAGGATAAGCTGAGAGACCTAGTGTAAAAGGAAGTTATTGAAGAGTGGGGGTTTAAGTGGGCTTGAAGAAGCTATCTTTTTGGAGTGGGTTAAGCCTCAGAGTTTCCCTGGATTAAAATAGAAGTTTTAATTCCTTTTTTGTTTATGGGGTCTTTTTACTGGACAGGTGTAGTAAAAGTGATAATGTAGGGATGAGTAGTCGGAGTGATGTAGTTGTTTTTAATCCAGGAAGTAAAGCAGTGTTGAATAGCAACTATATTGGTAAACAAAGCTAAAGGAACTCGGCAAAAAAAGGGACCGCCTGTTTAACAAAAACATGGCTTTCTGATTAACATGGGGGGTCGTGCCTTCCCGGTGAGCTTTCGGGCTTAAACGGACGCGGTAAATCGTGCTAAGGTAGCTAAATTATGGCCTATTAATTGTAGGTCCTGTGAATGGTCTGACGAGTCTTTAACTGTCTCTAGTTTGTTTTGGTGAAATTGAATTGGATGTGCAAATGCTTCCATAGGTGAGAAAGACGAGAAGACCCCGTGAAGTTAGAAATTTAAGTTGTAAGCGTTATTCCCCTTAGTTTTTACTGTTTTTTAGAATAACAGGTTAATTTAAGTTTTCATGTTAATTCAAGTAGAGGGATGCAGCGGCAGTTTTGGCTGGGGCAGCAAAGGAGCAAGACTAGACTCCTATTATTTAAAGTGCGGGTGCGCTACGACCCACAGAGGTATGCATTTGTGATTAGCAGAAGAAGTTACTCCGGGGATAACAGCGTTATCCGCCCTGATAGTTCTTATAGATGGGCGGGTTTGCGACCTCGATGTTGGCTCTGGGTATCCTAAGGCTTGCAGGCGGTCTTAAGGGTTGGTTCGTTCGCCCATGAAAACCCGACGTGAGCTGAGTTCAGATCGGCGAAAGTTAGGTCGGTTTCTATCTTCTTTCTACTGAGTTTAGGCTTTAGGGTACGAAAGGACATTTAGCTTTAGGTTTCAGTCTATTAAGGTTGTAGTTAAAATAAAATAAATTTGAGTTTAGTTTGGGTGAAGTGAAGCGTTGGGGTCGTTGACTTATGGCCAACTCCCATAAGGATGTGGGGACTATATATCTTATTTTGGGGATGTGGTCTGGTTTTGGGGGTTTGAGTCTCAGATGGATTATGCGATTAGAGCTGGGTCGTCCTGGCATATGGCTGCCAAGATCAGAGGTGTATAATGGTGTGGTTACTTTACATGCTATTATGATGATTTTCTTCTTTGTTATGCCTGTATTAATTGGGGGCTTTGGTAATTGGTTGTTACCATTGTTGTTAGGGGCTATTGATATGAGATTTCCCCGGGTTAACACTTTGAGTTTCTGGATTTTACCATTTGCTTTGTATATAGTAATTCTGTCTTTTAATATTGATTATGGGAGAGGAACTGGTTGGACTATATATCCTCCTTTGTTTAGTAACTTTTTTAAATGTGCGAGGAAAGGCGTACAAGGCTGAGTTTTGTCCTCCGTTTGTGTGGGCTCTGTCTGTTACTAGGTTCTTGCTTTTGGTATCTTTACCGGTTTTAGCGGGTGGGTTGACTATGTTGATTATGGACCGTCATTTTAACTGTAGGTTCTTTGATCCTTCAGGTGGGGGGGACCCGGTTTTATTCCAGCATTTATTCTGGTTCTTTGGGCATCCAGAGGTATATGTTTTAATTTTACCTGGTAATTATACCGCTATTAAAGGGCCTAGGCGTAGAGGTGCTAAGTAGGGGGTTGGGGTGATTTTGTAGGTGTTAAATCTTGATTGTGCCCTTGGTGGGGGTAGAAGAGGCGGAGAGTTGCCTTAGCTTTGACTTCTAATCTGTAGCTAGGGAGGGTAGCGACCTTCCTTCCGCTGGTAAGATGTTGGCAGTTTTATTGGGGTTGCTTCCTAGGTTTGGGGAGGTGGGTTGTTGGCAGTTTTTTACCCTATGTTTTTTAAGAAGGCCCATTATTTTATATCGGGGTTCCTTGGAAGGTTATGTGATAGGGGATTTTTTTATTCTAGATGATTGGTCTAGGTCTTTAGTTTTTCTGTGTTTTTGGTTGGGGGCTTTGATAATAATTATTTCTAAGCCCGAGTTAAGGGGGTTGTGTGTATGGGGGGTAGTTTTTTGTTGTTTTCTAGCCTTCTCTTGTTGGAATTTTCTTTGATTCTATGTGTTTTTTGAGTTAACTTTAGTTCCTATGGCTATTATAATTCTTAAGTGAGGCATACAGCCGGAGCGAATTACTGCAACATTTTATATATTTCTCTACACTCTAGGAGGTTCAATTCCGTTTCTTGTCTTTCTTGTGTTTGTTTTTTGGGGGGAGTCTTCTTTTTTTATGGGTTTTAATGCGGATTTGTTGGGGGGATTGGGTTGGTGGGGGTGCTGTGCTGTGGTTGTTTTTAAGTTAGGGGGAATTGGATTAATGCGTGTTTTTTTAAGGTACGGTCAGTTGTCTTATTCAGTTCAGGTCTTTTGGGCCAATGTAGGGATTTGGGGGGTGTGTTGAGGTCCGTAGCTTGTCTCCGTCAAGTTGATAGGAAGGCCCTTATCGCTTATTCTTCGGTAGGGCACATGTGTTTGGTTCAGCTTAGTATTCTAAGCGGAAGGAGGGTTGGTTGGTTAGGTGCTCTTTTTATAATAGTGGCTCATGGGCTAAGTTCGTCAGGCCTCTTTGGGATTATTGGAGAGTACTACGATAAGGTTAAGAGCCGAAGTTTGATGGTTTGTTCGGGGTTTGAGATGTTATTTCC